AGTTTCCTGAAATATTCGACATTTGACCTTTGCTTTAAAGGAAACAAAGTGTCAATCTCATAACAAAATTGACTCTGGGGATAGGTTTTCATTAGAATACACTTTGCTCAAAATCCAGTTATATAATTACAAATCTGAAATTGTTCAAAGTAGTTTCAGGGTTTAATGTTTTTAAGAAAATATCCATTCACTGTTTCTCAATAAAGGGCTCTAAACCATAGGCTCTTTGGAAGTTGGAAGTAAGAGAAGGATTAATTATATTCCTGAAATATATGAAGGAAAAGGAAAGAAATATTTGCAACACAATTTCATTATTATTTGTATTTACAGCCATAGTTTGTTCAATGCCAGTTTATTGTACCTGTTAACTCTTCTAATTAGTGATGTTTGAGATCAAATTAAAATTTGATTTTAGTAAATAGTGGATTTGTGGACTGGCAATAAAAAGGAAATGGATTCATTATTAACTAGTGAATTTTTATAATATCTAAAGCTTTAAATAAGCTTCTTAAAATCAACTTTTAAGTTCATAAGCTTAAAATACATGCCTTTGAATTTTGCTATTATAATTTATTTTGATACTGTGATTAAAACATGTAATATTATTTGCTTGTTATGATGTCTTAGTATGATTATAAAGAATGCCACACCAAAAATGGTAAAAATAATTTCAATCTTAAAATAAACAGCTATGCAGGTGGCTGTGTGTGCATGCACATGTGTTTATGCACTCAATTTTGTGTGCAGCTTTTGCTGGTAATGCTGTTATTTAGAAACCTAGATTGGTTGAACGCATGCTGATACTAATTTTATCCCTTCAAGCAAGAATGGCTGCATCAGATGTTCCTTCTCTCTTCCAAACCCATGCATCACTGCCAAGATTGGCTGTTACACAAATTTTCGGCATCTGTTTAATGTGTTTAATTGTACTACTTGTAAAATTTTCTGTCATAATACCCACAGTAAAAGATTAACAGGTTTGGAGTGAATGAACAGATTCATTAGTGTTGAATATTGGTCATTGTTGAATATTTATTTACCAATTTAGAAATAGTGGTTTTTTTCAAAATTGGTTGTACCCAGACTTTCTTGCTGTTAGAGCAATAAAAATTAGCTGCTTCTAGTATTAAGCTTTCACTCCCTGCCTTGTGGGTTACAGTTTACTTAGTTTACTGGTTTATAAACAGTAAGACTCTGGGTGAATTTAGACTTCCATCTCAGTATCCATAGAGCTGGAGTAGTCATCTTCATTCTCATTTCAGAACACCAGATTTCTGATTCTTTTCTAGCTGAGGAAGGCTGCTCAACACATGGCTTAAGTCAGGCAATTAACTGCATGCCATTAACCAATAAGTGGACAGTCAGTGTCCTATCCATTCACGATCAATATTAATAATAAAACAGGTAAACAATTATACTAGGCAATATATTAATAAACACACATAAACATATGAACAGCCTTCTGTAATTTACCCCATGAAATACTGATCTTGCTCACACTTACTCTTACATAGGTACAAACACCCTCTCTAGGAGGAAGCATGGGTTAAAAATGTGTGCACAGAGACTCCCTTTTTGGGAAGCACATGCTCCATCTGTACATCCCCTCCTGCTGGAAGGGTGGGTGCTCCAACTTTACATGTACTTGTGCTGCTTCCTGAAGTCTGCTAGTTGTTCCCTGCTGAGAAGCCCACCTTGAGTTCCCATACACTCACCTGGTAGGTTGGTCCCCATGGATTTCTCTCTGGGCTGTCAGGCTGGCTGCAGGCTGCTCCTAGGGTCTGGTGGGGCAGATGCGTTCAGAAATGAGAAGAGGTGACAATGTCCATAGGGTGACTTCTGGCAGGGTCAAACACAGCTTCACTGCTGGGTTGTCACTAAGGTCTCTCATCTAAAATCCCAACTTTCCATGTATCTTTTCAAGCCATCACCTTCTCAGAAGTCTCTTAATAACTGTTAATTCTGTCTAGTGAAGATAATGAAAAATTGTTGTCATTGTTACACTCCCCATTGCATTCTAAGTTTTGGGCAAAGAGGCTATCAGAGGATAGTAGTAGAGGATAGTCTGTAATTATGGGAACTGATTACACTTGAGTTCCTCTCAGATCAGCTAAAAGTTCTTGGAATCCTAAAATTAATATGCTTTACTCACACAGATAGTGACAGCAGCTCTATATAGCTCTAAAATAAGTGCTGCAGTCATCCTCAAAGAAGTCTGGAATACTTTCACCAGTTGTTTCTCACGTGAAGTGACACAGATGTAGTTTGCATAGATTACATTGCATATATGGCAGACAAGTCTAGTCTTTTGGATCTTTATAACAGATTTACATTGATTTACAGTGATAAAGTAACAAGTCTGGAGAGAAGTGGGTTTAAAACAAAACCCAAGTTGTTTAAGATAATTTAAGTTTGGTTTTTATTTGTATGGAATAGATTCAGTGTAATTTTTAAGCTTTTGATATCGCAGATTTTAAATGTGTGTTGATAAATGTTGGGTTTTTTAAGATTAATGTATAGCAAAATATACAATCTGACACATGAAGCCATAAAACACTTCAGAGATGCTTCTGACACGTTTGCATCTTGTAGCTACAGTATGCATGCCTAAGGGAAGACTGCTAAAGTTTTGCAAGTAATCTGGGAAACAGAAGACAAATCTATATGCTAATAAAATACAAGATCTGAAGAGAAAACACAAACTAAGAAACTTGGAATTGTGAGGGCATGGATCTGCATTTCATAATATTAAAGCTTTTAAACAGATATAACTAGCCAAGATTATGTTAAAAATACATTGCATAGTGAGAAAGCCGCATCTTTAGAATCAATTTGTCAGTTGTAAAAGACACACCTCTAAATTTTATCTGAATTTTATCTTTAAAATGTATTTTTATTACTTACACGCTTCTGTGTTTTATGACCTCTTTATATTTATCTTATTTTTCCCTTCTTATGTTGAGTTATGAGTTTTTCTTTTGTTTTGCAGGATGTGTTAAATATTTTGGGGGAAGCAACTTAATGTTTTCATAAACTTAGCAGTACATTTTGTAGGAGAAAAATGCCTGATTCAGAGGGAGTAAAATCAAAGGTTTGGACCGGAAATCAGGCCATGTGTCTGGGGATAATGTTTTTATCTTTGTTTTTGCTTTTAAAATAAATTATAACCAAATTAGCTATTCTGATTAATCAAGCTGAAATTAAGTATTTGCTTAAGATTTTCCTTTAGATATAAGATTATCTTGTCTTTTCTGCCATTAGATTGAAATTACTCTTTCTAAAGGAATTTTTGCTTCAAGTATATTCATAACAGTATTGAATATTTTCTAGTGTCTTTCTTGGTTACAAGTGCTCCAGTTTGCATTAGCTTACCTAATACGTTTGCTTTTTTTTTTAACTTTGCAATTGGTCTTTACATTTAGCCCAATATGCAGCCTGAATAATTGGGTTACACCCCAGGTGAAGGACTCTGTGTCTTTCTGCTCCCAAGTCAGAGGAGTAGGAGTGTTGCTCATTGCAATATGCATTTCTACTGAGGAGGAAATCTATTTCATTAATGAGTTAATTTTTTTTTTCTTTCCTGTTTCATTCTATCAAACTTTTTCAGTTTACAAAGCACATCAGTTAAATTCTTCAAAATGGTTAATGATTTATTTTTTTAAATTTCCACTCAAATTGCTTTACAAAGTGAAATCTAATTCAGAAAAAATATTTATTAATTAGCTGTGGCAAATTAGATTTATGTTATTGAACACTTAGATTGCCCAGTCCTCCTAAATATTTGACAGACACACCTCCCTATTAAGCTGTCTTTCAGAAGCTGTTTCCACAGAACAATTGTTTAATTAATTTAGTATTCCTCTCTCACTGCCACATGGTAAGAAGGAGGAGGAGGAGGAAACCTTTTCTGCTCTGGTTTACTGTTCTGCTGGAACTGACTGCCCCTCATGGCTATTTCAACAAAGTTATAGTTAAGTAATTTTTTCCCCCTATAATAATTTAAATGTTACTCAAAAGCTGTTTACTTTATGCAGAAAAGCCAAAACAGATGGGCGGACAGCAAACGTTAAGGTTGAGGAAATGACCAGATTGATACAGAAGCTTCAAGGCCAACTGGAGAGAAAGGTATTGTAGAGAAAGGAATAATTTCATGTTGCCGTCAAATGGCTAGACAGTTAACTGAATGCTGATGTTAAATTAATTGCATGTTGTCCTCTAACTGGTTTTTGTTAATATATCTTTTAATTGTTCAAGGAAACTTGGATCATGTCTGGATAATATGTATATTCTTTCTAGGAAGAAGACAAGATATCTGCCCAGCAAAGGGAAACAGCATCTGACAAACGCTTGCAGCAAATGCAGTCTAGTATAAAACAATTAGAAACAAGGTAAAGATAGCTCATTGGGTGTTAATAACAGGACACATGAAGTGAGAAAATATTATGATTTTTTAGCCTCTGGGTTTCACATTTCTGAGCAGTTCTGTTTCCTCAAAATAGAGAGATCTTATGCTTGGCTGTTCTGTCTCATTTATTCTCTTCTGCAACCTTTTAAAATCTTCTGGTTTCAATGTATTTATAAAAGACCACCTGATATTATTTACTATAATGGAGAAACAATAAACCATGTATTTTTCATTCTAGTGTATATATTATAGTTACTCAAGTCTCATAAGCTTTAGGTGGAGTTCTAAATAAAGACAGTCACACTGAAATTGGAAAATATTCATGTAAACTAGCTGGTTTTAATTGAATACAGCTTTTTCTTAGTAATAATAAATAACTTGGTTTCAGGTTTTAGTTCAGAAATCTTTATACACCAAAAAAAAAATAGAACCGTTAAAGTACGCTTCTTAACAATAAATGCTAGGTACAAAAGTAGTTGGAGTCCCTGCTGACTAGAACTTAATTTCAGTACTTTTTACTGGAAGATCTAAGACTCTGAGGTTCTTTTGGGTGGATTTTTCTCCCACTTCACTTTCCAAGGATATCACACTTAGCTGAGCACAGTGATTTTGATTCAAGTATCACAAACAGTTGTTGAATTATTAACATTAGTCAAATAACCTGATAGCTAAGAGAATTTGTAAATTTTCTACTGAAATAATTTTGTTCATCCTCCCTTCTTGGTCACAGTCTTGAGAGCATGATTAGCAGACTCTTCAATAACTGTAGAAACCAAATAATTATAATAATAATAAATAATTATTATAATAATAAATAACTGGGGAACCAACCTTGTGACTATGTGGTCAAGTACTGCCTGGAGGAGATGCATGGGCTTGTGTGGCTACCTCTACTTGATGAAATTCACTGGCCCAAGCATTGTTGAGGCTCTTAAGTTTATTTTAGCGTGTCTTAAGGAATTAGCTAATTTTATTATTTTCTGTAGGTTTTTTGGCTCAACAAAAATTGTGTTTTGGTTCTACAAAAACAGAGTGATTGCCTGTCTTTGTATGTTTGATTACAAACATGATAGCAAGTAAAAAAACATGGCTGCTTGAAAAGGCAGCCCAAATGTTGCCAGAGTGCTCACTGTGGATATTCAGAGCTGTGCACTTTACTGAACAAGAAGCACTTGTGAAACTTTCTGAGATTTTTTGAGGATACCTCTGGGACTCTCTTGCCCTTTCTCGAGCCTGCCAATACTGACAATCATAATTAAACAATAAGAATATCTGAGCTGTTGTAAAATTACCAGTGGTTTTCTTGTTCTAATGGTATAGCTGCAACTTCATTGCCCACATCCAATTATTCCATTTCCTCCACAGAGGAAAACTTTATTCCTTCTGGGGCTGTTCTATTCTGTTTTAATATAGAACATTTTCAGTGATGTGTCCCAGGATAGCAACATTCTTCTGAGGATCTTCTGAGATTAGGTATCTGAATTAACTCCTTTAATTCTGTTTCTTTCTAGGACTTGATGAATATTAAACTCAAAGACTCTGTCCAAAAACAAGCAGAAAACCACAAATATAGTTTTGGCAACTTAAAAACAAATAGTTCCTATTAGTTTATTTGGAAAGAATTAGTGTCTTAATTAGGTATCTTGTTGTTAATTGGGTAAAATTATTACGGTCTTGTAGATTACGTGTTACTGTCCAAGATGCTGAGCAGCAGCAAACAGAAAGAATGGCGCTGGAGAAACAAATGATAGAGCTTCAGACAAAGTGTGCTAACCTCGAAAGGGAGAAGTATGATGCTGTTGCCAAAGTCGAAGATTGCATCCAGCTCTTAGAAGAAGCTAACCTACAAAAAAGTCAGGTAAGGCGATGGATGAAGACATTTCTTAGGTATTGGAATACTTTAATCACAGTTGTGAAGTGCCTGATTATGTATTCTTACAGGCACACATGCATACACAACCAAGCTTCTTTTATGTTTGTTGTACTAAAATTAGTTAATGTGTAAGACTGCAAGCTGTGGTATGACTATGCATTACTTAAGACTTACCATACAGTATTGATTTCAAAGAACATGTTGAGTGCCTGGATAAAGGTGATCTAAGTGCTAATACTATACCTGAATTTGACTTTTCAAAAATTTCTGACAGGGTTTCTTACTGAATGCTTCTAAAGAAACTGGGCAGTCAGAGTAAAAAGGAAAGTCCTGTTATGAATATATAACTTAATAATGGATAGGAAAGAAGAGCTAAAAGTAAAGGGACATGATGGCCATAGGTCACCCAGAGTGAGTTGTGTATCCATATCGTAATTACTGGGAAGAAATCTGAAAAAGTGACTTAAGTAATGAGCAGATGAAGTCTTCAGTCTGAAAAGAATTACAAATGCATTTCTCATGTATGATAAAATGGCAAATTCAGATATGCCCTACTGGGTGCTGGATTTAATCTTAACAGCCAAAAAAGGGTTTAGGAGATGGTGCGGATGTCTCTTAACAATACTTTCACACAATCCTCAGTAGTACTCCATTCAATGAATAGAATGTTCAGAGTGAGAGTTAAAATAAAGATGCCTTTAAAATGAGTGCACTTCATGTGCAGTTTTGATTAATTTCAGGCAAGATAGAGGTGAATTAGAAGAATGCAGGAGGAGTCAACAAATAAAACGTAAAGTGGCCTTATAATAAATTTTTTTATGCATTATGTGATTAAACTGTTATAGGATGATGTATGAAGTAGATGCTAGAAGTATAGATACGAAAACTGTTACATTCACAACAGGACAATCCACCAAAACTTCCTTCCACCAACATAAGGTCTATCCAGCAAGTCCTGATGTGTCTACTGATTAAAAAAAATAGTAACCATGTTTTCCCAGTTCTTAACATTCCTAAAGTATCAGCTGTTTACTCCTTTAGGAAATAGGATGCACGGCTTGGTAAACTTTTGTCTAATGCAGGTTCTTCTGTATTTTAATGCTAAGTTTCAGTTCAAGTCAGGCTTTTACAAATCTAATGAGTTGTTTTTGCTGGCAAGACAGCTTTATTGCATGTCTGATTACTCTAGCCATTCAGTAAGTGAAACACAATTTAGTTAATAGGTATATAAATAGCGAATCTTAGAATTTACTCTATTTGAACTAACATGTTAACTGTTGAGCAGTTAAGGAGATAAATGCTCCCTCTTAGTCTGAAGCCATTTTCAAACTTCAGGAGCCTCCTGACTATCTAAACTAGCTCCTTACTTTTAACTTTTGGAATATTAAAGTTAGTGTTGTTTTTTTTTGCTCTTGCAGATTTCAGAAAGTGGCAGACCTGCCCCCGTTTGTTTGTTTTTTTAACAGAAAAGGGAACTGACTTCTTTAAAGAGATCCTGTTATCTTCTGGTCTGCTTCCAGAACACATTAAATTATTGATAAAGCGTAGGGGTTTTGGTCATTGCTGCAGATCAGCTTCTGTGATTCTTCTTGTTATACAGAAGAAGGTTACCATCTACTTATATTTTTTTCCCATATATTTATAGTAATTTAGGAAACCTTTTGGTGGCACCTTTTAATTTTCATAATTTCTTGATAACTTTCTGTATCTCATTTGCTTTATGAACTGATCTATAATTCCCTTTCTTGTTAAACTCTGGTTCAGAAAGGAGTGAAAAATTAAGTTTTACATCCTCCAGCCCTTAATGGCCACCTTTGGGCTTGTCAGTTCCTTTTTCTTACTAAGATATGTTGATACTTAACACCATTCCCCTACAGCACCATACTGAGGATATAAAAATAAAATATTTTTTTCACAGCTTACAAACTAGAAAACAGTCTTTCATTTGAAAATTACTGGTAAGGAGTATGAATCACATTTCCAGTCTGCTAAATATATTAATTAGAGAAGTGTTACAAAACTCTTTTAATCCAAAAGTAGTTCAGCAGATCGTTTGATAGCGCTTATTATGAACTCACATGAAGTTGACAGAAAAAAGTGGCCCAGTAAAAATTAATGTGATGTAAATCGTGTCTCTTAAGACAGTAACTGAGCAGTTAAAGAGATAAATAAGTGGCTTGTTATGAGTAACAGTTTGGTATAACGCTGTAATAAGAATAAACTGGAATTTGCAGTCACTTGTTAATTTACTGCTCTGGCTAAAACAATGTTAGTTTTTCAAACTGGGAAGTTTATTAATTAACAGGATAAAAAAATGCAGTATAATATATGTATCAATTAACTGAATCTTAAACTGTGGCCACTGTTTTATCCCTGCTCCATAAGAGACTGAGGGGTGGGAGTGACAGGTTGTCATAATAATGCTACTTCTGTTACATTACCATTGTAAAGCACACAAAGCTAAGCTTACAGAAAGACTTCAGAAGAGTTTTTTAAAGAGTAGTTCGAGAATAAAATGCAAAGTTGAATTTTTTGGGAGCAATAAAGGAGAGTATGACTGATGAAGTGGCATGTTGTTGCCTGAAGTGAGTAACCTTCTGTAGGCTGAACTTGCATCACCCGTTAGGGACATTTTGATGTCTTTCATTATGCATCTACATACTCTCTAAGTGCCACCTAGGATTTTTCATCTCACTCATCAAGAATTCTGTTTTGTGATCTTTTTAGACCAGTTTCTCCTGTTGTACTTTAACATCAGTTGCTTTCTTGTATCCCCTGGAGGAAGGGTACCTTGCTACACCTTTTTTTGTACTTCTCACCATTCTTTTATGCTAAAGAGCTGTTTGGTTCATTGTTATCCAACATGAAAGGGACTGCATGGACATTCCTTAGTTGCTTATCAATTTTTATTCCTTTAGTTTTTTGGGAGGTAATTTAGTATATAAGGCATAAAAAATTCTTAGTTATATGTTGGAGCATGTGCTTGTGTTTATTCAGGTATTCCGCTTCTGAACACAGAACTTTCTATTTGTCATTGGTGGCATTTTTTTATTACAGATTCTGGCCCTGGATGAGAACATGGGAGAGTAGCTTTGCCATTTGCCTGAATTTTCTTCTGTATAATTCTATGCCCAAACAAATCTGAAAGCCCCAATACTTAGTCCGAATAGAAGAAGGCATCTACTGACATTAACTTATTTTCTGTGTCTGATTTACAGGAATCTGCAAGATGTTCTCACTGGTCTTGTTTTCTTGTCGCATCACAGTATCAGCTACTTCAAAGAAAAAAAGCAAAAAGTTTGTTTGAACAGTGACTCTGTGTGGTTTCTTCTTTCAGGGCTAGATGCTATGTCACCACTGAAATATTATCAGCAGTATTTCAAAGTGTATTTTTTCCAGGCACTCTTTGGCCAGAAACAGAAGGAAGAGGAGATTGAAAACATGAAAAATAAACTGTCTCAACTTATAGAAGATGCTTCTGCAAGAACTAGAAAGGCAGTAAGTTATGATGGGAAAGCTGCTTTTGTTTTGCTCAGCTTGAAAAGCTATTGATGGTGCATGGTCATCATGAGCGGTTTTCTTACAAGAGTTTTAATAATACAGGTAGATAGGCAGCATACAGGCACTACTGTATTCTTCAGCTTTGTTACCTAGACATATATTCTTGCAAACTAAATGATACTCTCAAGTCTCTCAAGCACCAAAAGTGTTGATGTCTGTATAGACATGGGTATAGAGAAGGCTGAACTGCAAAATGTAAAGAGTGGTCCATCAATTTCAGATATTCTGTTCAGTAGATTGTCAACAGACTGCTGTATTTGTATAAAGGTATTTAATTTGTGATAATGTGGCCTTATCTTGCAAGTTGCTGATGGAAACTTAACATGTACATTTAGATGATAGGACCAGTTGAAAGTTATACTATCAGGTTTTTGGCATCTCAGTACTTAAAAATATTTTCCTATTTAGGCAAGTATGACTCTTGTACCAACTGCAGCTAACCAATGAAAAGTCTCAATATCACCATGCACTTAGAAACAGGAATTTGTAAGAGAAATTGCTAAAAAAAGTTGTAGTCTCTTTATGATTTTTGTTACTGTTGTTATGAGCAGCTGATAAATTGAAGCTCTGCTGATAAATGACTAGTCACAAAATTAGTTTTTCAATGTCATGTCCCAGCTTCAGTTAAATTGTAGACTAATCTACCTAAAGTTTCCCAGTAATTATCTGCATGTCAAAGAGACTTGCTTTAAGGCAAACTCCAGAGGAAATAAAGGCTTCTTGCAGGCATGTGTTGGCAATGTCTTTTGTTGCAAGTAGGCAATAGTGTAAATCAATTACACTACCAAAAACTTACTAAGAAGATAATTGATTTTGCCCACTTTCACTTTCTTCACTATAACACAATGTGCGTATATACTGTGTAGGGATGAAAGGATTCTTTTTCTTTCCAATCCTTTCATTTCAAGATGTTTCAGGAACATGCTGCCTAAATTTTCAGAGCCTTTAAAATGAGATTAAAAATGGTTTGTGCCTTCTATTTGGCATTTATCTGAAAGAATCACAAAAATTGTGTGGATTACTTAAAACTGCAGTATTAAATGTCATACATGGTCTGGAGAAGATGCAAGAGCCAAAAAGCAACTAGGACAACCACTGTAGTTGTGATAATGATTTACTAATCATAATTAGAAATTTAGAAGTGTCCCATTTCTTATTTTGAAATATCTTAGTAAAAGTGAATCATATAAAAAGTAAAAGTTTAAACTATGAGTTCTCATGCTTCTCCAGCTAATAACAAATATTTCTGATGTTATTGTCCTGGTCTGATCCTGGTTGAACCATGACAGTTAGGTGATTTAAAAATATGGTACACAACCTGCAAATATCTTAAACCTAATTGACAGCAGCCTTCCTGATACTCTTACTGTTCTTTTGTAAGGCCTTGTTGTGATGTCTTCCTTTCAGCTTTTCTTTGTAAACACTCTCAGCTAGAGTAGTACTGATTGATAAAAAACATTCTTTCACATTTATGTAGTAAATTTTTTCAGTTTTTGCAGTCCCATATAGTTCTGTATTTATATACATGCAACACATATGGACAATATATATGCAAAAACAAGATGGAAAAAATAGTTTGTGGGATTATTTTTTTAGTTTTACTTTCTTTTTGATCACAGATAGACTCTGCAAAGAAGCAATATAATGTGCAGATTTCTCAACTAGCAGAAGAAATTTCAGCTCTTCAGATGGTATGGTGTTGACCAGTAAAACTAGTTTTGATAGCAAAACTTTTGAGACTTCCTGTTTTTGTTGATCAAGTAAAACACTAAATTCAGGTTAAAGGAAGTCAAATAAAGTAGGATTAACAGATAATTGTATAGGTCTATACTTTTTTACTCTATGGCACTTTACATTCTGCATGTCTTCAGATGTTAATGCAACACATAGTGTCTTTCATGTGACTTGACAAAAGCAACTGTGTGCAGTGTCTTAACAGTCAATGCAGAGACTGATATTTAGGTGTAAATGATGTTGGCTTTGAAAATTCATTTTTGATGTATAGATTTGCCTTGTGTGTATACAATCATCTTTCACTGAGAAATTGCCTGGCTCTGCAGGAAATAATACGGTTCTGGAAATTCACACATTTCTTTGTATAAGCTTATTCCCTGAGATATGTGTATTCTTATCATATCAGGCATCTTGACAGCGAGATTCTGTGCTCTGGAAAATATTTCCCATGTGATGGCTTCCTTAAGTATTCCTGTATCTTTCAGGGGTAAATAAAGCATTGAAACCTGAGTATTACATATCTATGGTTGGATATGTAGAAACAAAGTACATGAAAGTTGTGAAAATATGCTAAGATAAAGTCTATGTGCCACAATCATAGTCCTGATTGAACCAGGAACCTGCAGCAGATTATGTGGGAGACCAAAGGAGCATGATGCATATGCACCTATTTAGGAATGCCATTTATTGAAAGAAGGTTGCATTTTACGAGTCTTAGTCTGTATAGTTGATGAGACTGATCCTATAGAGAAAATAATGAGCAGGTAAATATAGTCAAATGCATATTTACCAGCAGCAAAAACTACCTTTACAGTGGCTGGGGTTTTTTATTTGGCACTTCTTACATTTTTATTTTCAGTTATTTTTATTAGATTTATGTAAAATTTACTTTTAAAAATAGGAATGTGGAGAAAAACAGGGTCAAATTGAACAAGCCATTAGAGAAAAGAGAGCACTGGAAGAGGAACTTGAAAAGGTAAGGCAATTGCATGCATTTTTACATCACATTCAAGATCGCTTTTCAGAAGGAAAAGACATATTGTTTTTTCTAATTTATCATGTAATTTTTTCCCCTTAATTTTCTTATTTTATTTTTGAGCAGATTTTCTTAATTGTAAATTTTCAGGTAATTTTTTTTAAAGTAATTTTTAAAAATCTGTAGTGTTGCAGCAGGACACTACAAGTGTTTTAATGCTGTAATACTAAACTGAAAAAGAAGGTTCTTTGAAAAGTGCAAAAAGTCAAAGGAGAGATGCTTGACATAATCCAGAAGAATGTTGATAGATATTCCTGGTAAGCTCAATAGACAGAAAACTAAGTGAATGCCAGTTCTTCGAACACTTTTTTTTCCAAGTTGCAGCAACAATGATAGAAATTCTATTTTGTTCTGAATCCCTGAAAATAGGACCCAATGAGAAGTGGGTAGCCTCCTTTTCAGTACTACACTGCCAATCCCCAGTGCAATATAAAGATGATGTTACATGTTAAGTTTATTCTTTAGGTTTACAGGGAAGACAGAGGACATGAATCTGACAATAGAAAACTAGACCAACTGCATCAAAAATATCTACTTGCAGAAACTACAAAATGTGATCTTCAGATAACTCTACAGACAACCCAAAATAAACTAAAACAACTGGAAATAAAGTAAGATGTTACAGAAACTGGAATAAAAAGCAATGGAAATTATTGTTGGATAATTAAATTGTTGATTATGAGTTAGGTTTTTGTCACACCTTTTTAACCAGTAGCAGGAGTAGCATCAAGAAACTATAATTGTGAAGTAAGGTCAATTATGAATCACTATAAAAGGGAATCATGTGCTATAGAATAAAAGATTTTCTCAACAAGATGAGAACTGTGAGCAGGTGTTTGATGAAAAAGAAAGTATGACTGTATTATTTTGGAATCTTAGTCTATTTTTAAATGCTATTAGGAGGAAATACTACTCTGAAATATTCAAGCAGAATGTATTACTTAACTTCTATAGTGTGGTATCTTCTAGTACATGCAGAACACTGTGCTTACAGAGCATACTGAATTTCAGATCTGTGTTCAGAGCCAATACACATTATTGCAGTTCCAACAATAACATGGTAAAAAGAACAACATGGGGCATATTTTTAGATCAGGTTGTTCTTTGCAGTATGAAAAGTTTAGGATTCTCTAGAAGAATTCTGTACTCTGATGATCATAAATCCTCAGCTGGGAATCTGGAAATGTTATAAAACTCAAAATCTTCTGTTTCACATTGTGGTTTTACTTAGATTGCTACAATCTTAGATTGGTTTGATGAATTCCATCATCTTGATAAAATTATTTGCTAACTTGTGCATAGTTCTAGCTGCCAAGCCCATTAAACATGCTGAGCTGATGCAAACTTCCAGGAAGAAAAGGACAACAGCTGTACTGGTTCAGAGTAAAGATGTCTCCCAATAGATATATACAATTTTTTTTTGTGTATGGTAGTTATTAAATTCCTGAGTTCCAACATGTCTTTACTTCTCTGTCAGCTCTGAGAAAGAGAAATCTCGTGCCCAGGAAGCTATCAGTAAATTGCAAAGCATTCTGGAGTCAGAAAGAGAAAAGAATGTCTTTGTCAGTGAACAAAGGCTAAAACTTCAGGAAGAGAATGAACAATTGCAAAAAGAAATGGAAGGCTTGAAAAAACTGGCCATAGAGGCTCAAAAAAAAGCTGAAATAAAGGTATGTTTCATACATTATTTTTGTTTTAATGTAAGGCTGACACTTGCTTACTAAAACAGCAGTTCTAAGGGAAAATTATTGAAAGTTTACATTAAGAATGAAAGTTTGCACGATGCTTCCTGATTTCTGCTTAAAAATAATATTCTTGTAGCATTGTGTGTCCTCAGAACCTACTGGGTAACACAGTCTCTGCTAATTAAATTTTATTTTATTATGTTTAAAATTCTGCTTGATAAGAATATCCCAAATGTTCCTTGCTTTTTATACGATGAACAGATTAAATAATAACATCTTCTATTAAGTGATTTCACTTATTCCAAGCCCTGATCTTCATTTATCTATTGTCTCTAATGTGTTAGGAATCTCTGAGTTTCAGTAGAGAGTGTTCAACTACTTGTATGTCTACCATGTTAAACACTTGTTCTGTGTTTTCTGGGCAGAGACCATTTTTCTGTATGAATAGTGGCAAGCAAGATAATTAGCAGAAAGATGGTAGTTCTTCTTGAACATGTTCCATGAAATGCACCTGAACAGATTGCAGGTGGAATAATGAATTCATAGTAACATGACCAAATTTGTAGTTCCTTTGGCTTCCAGAGGGAGTAACAGCTTTGATCCTTGACATGCCTATATGTACCAGATATAAAGCTGGTACTTCACTCTTTGCTCTGAGCTCCTGGACTGTAAAGATACTAAAATGGGATCTAAGCATCTGCAGAAACAAAGATGCCTTCAGTAGTCAGTTTCACAAGTTATGAATGGGGACCATCTCAAATCCAGTTACCACTTTGCATCACAAGATAAAGGAAGCAATTAAATTAAACAGGGAATCTTGTTCCAACTCCAGAACCCTTTGGTCAAATGTGGTTTACAAGGAAAGGACCAGAGTCTTGTAACAGATAGATAGTGGTTATAAAGCATGTAACCAGATCTTTGTCTCATTTTTAGTCACACAGGCTTCCATTATAGTCACAAAAAAGATTTATTGCTTTCTTTCATTTTTGTCTGATGTACAAAGGATTTTAGATGCAGTTAGGAAACTCTTAAAGCATTTTATCTAGATGAAAAAGAAAGTGTTTCTGGTGAGAGAACACAAGGGAGACGGATGAAGATTATTTATAAAAAGAAGTATACATAGCTCATTATCCTTTATTGTCACTTGTACTATTTGCTTAAATTGGCTTTGGGAACCTGGATGTCTTTGAGCATATAATTTAAAATTTAATTTTTATCTATTACATGCTTTCCACAAATGTTTACAAATTTAACTCAAATGCTGTAAAAAAAAAGAAAAAAGTCTAAATGTCAGAGTCTTGGTTGTATCCAATTTTCATTTCTTTCTAGATAAGCACAATGGAGCATGAGCATGCTGTGAAAGAAGATGGGTATGAAGCTCAACTTAGGGAAATGGAAGACACCAATCAAAAGTCTACTGCTGAACTTAGACGTCTGTTAGTAGCTCAGCAAAAAGCAACAAATCAGTGGAAAGAGAAAAAAAAAAATCTTACTGAAACTACAGAAGCCACAATCAGTAAGCTAAAGTGAGTGCAATTTTGTTCTTCTTCTGGAATCTGTTTCAGTTTTATATTACTGTTTGGCAGTAGACCTCTGGTGAAAACAAAGAAAAAGCAAACTGTCAGGACTAGATCATGTGCTACAAGCAAAACAAATAACAATTTTCTGACAAGAACTTTTTATGCTCTCTTTGAAGTTTAGCAGCTAAGCATTGAAGTAAAAATTTGACATCTTGTTGATGTGTGTGAATTTTGTAATGACAATAAGTAAAATAAATGTATTCTTTTTAATTCTATGTTTCAAAATGCAGCACACTCAATTTAGAGACTTCTAGCTTTGGATTATGAAAACCTTTATATTTATAGTTATTCAGAACAGTCACCATAAAATCAGTTGTGGAGTGATTCTCCAGACTTCTAAAATAAGCTGGAAAAAACCTATTGGGTTGCACATATAATGTTCTCTTCTGAGCAGTTACTGTCATAAATGAGGATATGAGTTGAGTGATTGCCCTAAGCGAAAATATGAATATTTCTTTTCTCTTAATGCATACAGGTTGCCAGGTAACTAGTGGATACTTGTATTCCCAGCACAGAATATAAGAATATTTTCAGTTTTGAAAGGGTATAACAGGGGCATCTCACACAACAGATACAGATTCCATATCATTCCTGGATGCTGGGGAATACCAGCACCTGTGGTGCCTGTGAGCTTATTATACATAAAGACATCAACTAGTTTAGAGAAGACAGTGAAGTTATTGGAAATGAGTGAGTAGAGAAGGAAGTATTCCAGTGAGAAGTTAGTCATGTGCAAGTCATATCTGAAATAAATTCTACAAACTTGTCTTTGTTTTAAATGCATACTGCTATGGTGTTCGCATCTTCTTGGATGTGAAAATCCATTAAAAAATGTTAAGAATCCACACTGATCGGTTTATGAAATAAGCAAATACAGCATCTGCATTCATCTTGGTTTTCCTTTTCAGTGTGTGGACACATTGCACAGTGTTAACGTGAATTTATTGATCTGTACACAGTCAATTTGTTATGTCTTTACTTTTCTGGATTTGCCTTGCTCCCCATCAGCTTCCTTGCATGTCCTGTGTTTGGCTGGGGAGTACCAGCTAAACTGTGACTCACTGCAAGCTGACACACTCCCTCCCTTACTCTGGTTAGCCATCTAGGTATACATGTTTGCCTCATGCTTGATTTGATTTCTGAGCTCTTGAAACCTGTCAGATCAAGTAGACTACGAGTAAGACATTAAATTAGCCTGGTATTTTTATAGAACTTCTTAGAAGTTTATGTACTGGATATCTCTTCCTTTTCAAACCTGGTTGAAAACTGGAGGAGTCTGGCAGACCAATACAGTGTGCCGAAACAGTAGCTCCTAAACTAGGAAGCCTGATTTCCAAAGTGTAATTTTGTTAAAATTAAAATGGTGACAGGTGAATATAACATGGCATATAGCATGACCTTTTTAGGAAGTTTATTCCATGGTTTTGAGAAGAAAAATTCAGGGTATATATGTTAATCTGAGAAATTTGAAATTACTCTAACTTCAGTCACTTAAAGTGCAAGATGCACTCTGTGTAGTCCTTCACTCAGATTGATTGTAGGAGTTCTTAGTATCATGCTAAGAAGGAAGCAAAAGTTTCTGCCCTGTTAAAGCTGGAAAGCTGTGAATTCTAGCTTCTTCTTCCTTTGTAGGAATCTTTGGCTTTTTATGTTTTATTATTAGAATTGTTTACATATTCTTAACTTGAACCATAATACTTCCAGTATCTTATGCAGTTTTTCAGAGCCAGAGTTTTTTAAGCATAGCTTTACATTTCTTATTTGTCAGAATGCTGATGGTGTATGTGGAATTATAACCCAAGTTTCTAAACCCAAGCAAGGAAAATAATTTCCTGGTAATGTTGCCCACAACAAATCTACCCTACCACTACTCTGATTTGATTCCCTTCTTTTTTAGAGAGTTACGTCCATTTGACCTCCAGTTAACTTTGTAAATAGCAGTCTCATATATAGTAGTGTTTCCCTTTAAAACTGCTTTCATTCCTCTTCAAAGTGATACAGCATCTGTCATGACTAATTGTACCTATTGGATGTCCAAATAGAGGTGCTATGAGTTCCTTCCTGCTTGAAACACAAGAACGATTGATAAAACAAGTATTAATGACTTATGTTTTACTAGCAGCTTCACACATCTGCTTTTCTGTTTTTTCAAGTCCTCCTTTTCTGAGTGTTTAGAACACTTCGTAGTACTCGTGATTTCTTACCTATGATAACTAGTTCAGTTTAAATTTTTCAGACAGTTCAAAATCATACTGAATCCAGTTAGATAATATTTTTGTTCATTTTTCTAGGAAAAAAGTCCCGCATAATTTTCACCTCTAAGTAAACAGTTTCCAGATTTTTACCTTAACTGTCCAAATATAGGCTGGCTTTATTTTGCCTTTAAAATACACTGCATTTTGCAAATATTACTAAACAGTTCTTTAAAAAGGCAAAAATTCTCCTTCAAAAACCATCACAGTGTTGAGCATGTCTGCAAGGCTCTGGGAGCTGAGCTTATTCACTGACAGGTTTAGTGGTACAGCTTCACTGTATGTAGTTAGCCGGTTCTTAACTAATGCTTTTTTGACATCTTTCTGTTAATGCAGTAACTAGAGGAGAAAAATGCACTGCAAAAGTCTTTCATGCTAAGGTAATTTTAAGCTGTCAAACTTGTAGTTAATTTTCTGTAAATGAAACTACAAAAAACTCTAGGTTCATAACTACATCTAGAATGTGGTTCAGCAACTACAATTAAAAGGGGAAAGTTGCAGACTTTGAAACAGTTGTCTCTGAAACAGCTGCTTTCCTGCTTAAAGCTTTCATGCTAAGCGTTAAAATGTTACAGTGGACCAAAAGCTTTAGAACTTATCTGCAGCAAAATGCTGATATAGAAAATAGGACAGAAATGAGGGGAGATCTGCTTTGTAGAATCTGCATGAAAAATAGGTAGTAAATTTTGAACGCATCCCTGTTCATGTGAGGCTGCCTATGTGGCAACATCTAAAAAACTCCTGCAATAATTTAACATCCTGTATCAGAAAATACTGCCTGATGAGCAGAATAGAAAAAATGTTTTTCTCATTAAAAAATTGAAGTCTGCATGCTTCTCTGTGACTTCAGTAGATATTTTGGTGCAAGTAAAAAAGCAAAGTCTTTTAAGGATTATTTCAGACATGATGCTTTTTACATACTGTATAAGCTAGAAGCAGAAGGTTTTATCAGATATTTGCTTTGCCTAACAAGGAAGCTGGGAATAGAAACAGGTTTTTTTCTCTGCCTGAAGGTTGTAATTCAAAGTGATGTAGAGAATTTCATAATTAAATCTGTGCAGTGATGCTCTGATATTATGGTGACAAGTGGCTATAACAGAAGCTAATTATCAAGAAAGTTTACAGCCAGTTTATTTTTCATGTTATATGCATTACCAAATAGTGAGCCATATAGTGCAGGATGCAGTTGGTATGAAAATCAGCTCCTGAGTTGCACAATAATAGTTATTCTATATGAAGTTGCTTATATAATAAATGAATAATTATCATATTTATTTTAATCTTATCACTTTGCATTTTGAGTGCACTTACCGAATGGCAATTCACTTCTTTGTTGTGAGCTAAAAGTTGATTATTTAAAAAGCAAAATAATTTTGCAGCTAATGTATTTATCACAGAAGTATCAGCAAGACCACTAAATAATAGACTGATACTGGTTAAGCAGAATCTAGTTAATTACAGGCTCTGTTTCTAAGTTCTTTTGAGGCAAGTGCAGAAAATGGTATCACCAAGCTTTTATCACCCCTGGTGTCACCAAGTGAAAGGCTTATTTCCACCCAGCTTTCCTATATACATGCATTTTAAGTTTGTGTGGTTTAGAGAGGGTTAGTTAAGCTGTGAGTTTGTAAGGAAAAATTACTATCTTCCTGAGAAACTTAATCTTGTATTTACTGAGCAATAAGGCCAAGAAGTGAAATGAAGTTATCAACATACCATTTTTGGATTTAGAGAGCTCTCCAACTTTCAGAGTATACTGTGCTTCTTTAGTGTATTTTGAGGACAGTTTGAGACATTCCTTGACACTTCATGAAGTATGAATCTTTGATGTATCAGATTCATGTAAATATAGAGCAAATACAGAGATTGTGTTGGTGATGTAGCAGAATTTCAGTTTTTAATAATTATTATTTTTCTTACAGCATATTAGTGTGCTTTATAAGTGAATGTTTTTCAGGAAGTTATAAGCTTCTTAACAAATTCATATCCATGTATTCTGGGGACGTCTTTTACATAAAAGCATTTCATACTGCATTTTACCAGAAGTTTGCTGTTAGTGCAGCTCTCATAAGCATTGAGTCAGTGTCCATTTGTTAGTGTAGGTGTTTCCTGTTCCTTTGCCTTAAATTCATGATCTGTTGCTGGTTTTCAGTTCTCTCCTCATTACTTCATTTTCCATGTGAAGGTGTCTGAAACTTTTTGGCTTCTTTACTAACTTCCCAGCAGCAGCTGCTAAGTTTTCCATATTCTGTGCTCCTTATTTGGCATATTTTAAGACTGTAGTATTTTGTTTGTGAGGTGCAATACATATGTATAAAGGAAGCATTAAATAAATACTTTTCTTTAAAATGAAGGAACATGAGAAACCATTAGATGATTTTTAAAAAATTAAGGAAAAGTGATTTTTGCAACCTGTAAGAGTAGAGCAGAGTGATGATGTTCTAAATAATATGAGAATCTAGTAGATCAGGTAAAAATGTTGATAAATAGATACTTTCAGACTTCACTGAAAATTACTGTGCTTTCTTGGACTGCTACTTCTCAGTTGAAGTGAAACACGTAATCATTGCCTATAAAACTGAATTTGGAATTATTTTTAAAGTGCTGAAACAGTAGACAGTGTTTTGAATACTTGTAGACTAAATTCCACTATTTTTTCATTAAAATACATTCCAGTCTTTCCTTATGGGAAGAGTT